CTCTCTCTCTCTCTCTCTCTCTCTCTCTCTCTCTCTCTCTCTCTCTCTCCCTCTCCCTCTCTCCCCCTCCCACTTGCTAAACACCCACTGAATTCTCTTGCCAATGAATGTCAGCTGTTTAGGGGACCCAGGATAGAGGCAGGACCTAATGTGGAAAAATCGACCTCTTGTCTCCCATTCGAGGGGCTCATTGCTGTGCGGACATGGTTTCTTGCAAGGCCAGTGTGCCTCTTCTCTCCACACAGCTCCACCTCATGCCTCTCCTCCAGTATCTGTTTCCTTATCACATGCATCTGGAAGTCAGGTGGCCAGAGATGCTTTTCTGGCAGAGAGAATGCTGAAACAACCCAAAGTATAAAACCGTCTTCTAGCCGCTCAGGAAGGACAGTCTCTCTTGGTTTCTTGAGTTCTTCCCATATGCTTGAGTTCTAGTAATCCCCCTGCCTCAGCATTCTGAGTATGTGAAACTACAGGCACATGTCACTATTTGGCTTTTTTCTAGTCTTTTTCTTTTCTTTAACTTTTATTATTAATCAATTAATTAAAAATTTCCCCGCTCCATCACAGTTCCACTCCCTCACTCCTCTCCTCCCAGTCCTTCCTCATCCTTTCCCACCCCCAATTCACTCCCTCTCTCTTCTCTTCAGAAAAGCGCAGGCTTTCCTTCTGTATCCCTCAGCCATGGGATATCAAGTTCCAGCAAGACTAGGCAGCTCTTCTCCTTTAAGACTGCATAAGGAAACCCAGCAGGAGAAAAAGGTCCCAAGAGCAGGCAACAGAGCAAGACACGGCCTTCCCTTTCCCAATGCCAGGAGTCCCACGAGAAGATCAAGACCCACAACTGCAGCACATGTGCAGAGGACACAGGTCAGTCCCATGCAGTTCAGGGTCTGTGAGCCCCATGAGCCCAAGGGCCCAGGTTAGTTGTTTCCGTGCCCCCCCCACTTCATGGTGTCCTTGGCCCCTTTGGCTTCCATAAGCCTTCCTCCCCCTCTTCCACAGGATTTCCCAAGGTCCACCTAATGTTTGGCTGTGAGTCTCTTCATCTGTTCCCATCAATTGCTGGGTGAAGCTTCTCTGATGACACAATTGGGCTAGGCAACCATCTGAGCATAGCAGAATATATTTCATTGCCTTTTTTTTCTTTTTTGTCAATCATGTTTGGCTCTATTCTAGGTCTCTGGGATATTCAACTTCTGGGTCCTGGTTCTCCAGGCAGTGTCATCGTATGGGTCTCAAGCTGGACCAGTTACTGGTTGGCCACTCCCATAATTTCTGCACCACCTTTGTCCCAGCATATCAGGTAGGGCAAATTGGAGGTCAGAGTTTAAGTGGCTGGGTTGGAGTCTTTCCTGGCTGCAGAAGATGGCTGGATCAGGCTCTATATCCCCCATTGCTAGGAGACTTAGCTAAGGTCACCCTCATAGATTTCTGGGAGTTTCCATTGTGCTAGGTTTTTAGCTTGTCCCAGAGATGCCCCTGATCCCAGTTGTCTTTCCCAGTACTCTCCTGACCTGATCCCTTCTGTTCCCATGTGCCCCGCTTCAGACTTCTCCCCCAGTTGAACTGCGATGTCTGTTCTATTTCCCCTTCACAGTGAGATTCATGTGCTCCCGCCCCCCTTGAGCCTTCCTTGTTGTTAGGAATTTTCCTAACGCAAGCTCTCTGCCAATACAAAAATCTCAATCAAGCCAAATCACAACAAGCCAAATTAAAAAATACCCAGGTTTAATGGGATTCCTGTGCTCTCGGATGGCCCTGAGGGGGAACCGGAAAGCCCTGAACATGACCATGGGGGTGGGGGTGGGGTGGGGACATAAGGAATGGTGAGTGGGGAGGTAGGAAAGTGGCAGGGGAGGGACCATGATGGAACTTTCCAGGGTAGCAGTTTAAATAGACTAGGGGAGTGGTCAAAATTTTGGTGAGCTGTCTTGACCCTCCTCCAGGGAGGGGTCAAGGCTTGGTGGGCACAGGGACGGACCTCCAAAGATGGAGGCCAGAGACTGGGACTTACACTTGTTATTTAGCTTTTTTTTGGGTATGTGGGTTGTTCCGGAATATTATTTATTTGTGTAAAGGTGTGTTACGTTTGTTTATGTTGCATTTGTTTAATGATGTAAAGATGTGTGCTTAACTGTGTAAAGATGTGTTGCGTTCTATTTCACTTTGCCTGCCTAAGGCACCTTATTGATCTAATAAAGAGATGAATCGCCAATAGCTTGGCAGAGGAGGGAGAGGTGAGGCTGGCAGGCAGAGAGAATAAATAGGAGGAGAAATTTAGGCAAAAGAGAGAAGAACAAGAAAAGAAGAGAGGAGAGAACGAGGGAGACTCCCAGGGCCAGGTAGCCGCCAGCCAGCAGACACAAGCAGTTAATGTAAGACGTACAGAAAGAAGGTAACAAACAAACAAACAAACAAACAAAAAAAACACAAAAAAACCCTGAGGCGAAAGGTAGATAAAGAGAAACAAGTTAAAAAAAGAAAGCCTAAGTGAGGCCCAGCATTTGTAACTAATAAGAAGTCTCCGTGTCATGATGTGAGAGCTGGTTGGTGACCCAAAAGAAAAAGCCTGGTACAGATTGTTGTATGATTATCCTTTACTATATGGCTAACATCTACCTGTAAGTATGTACACACCATGTTTGTATTTCTGGGTCTGGGTTACCTCACTCAGAATGGTCTTTTCTAGCTCCATCCATTTGCCAGCATATTTCAGGATGTCATTGTTTTTAACAAGTGAGTAATACTTCATTGTGTAAATTACCACATTTTTCTTTATCCGTTCTTCAGTTGATGGACATCTAGTTTGTTCCCAGTTTCTGGCTATTACGGATAAAGCTGCTATGAACATAGTTGAGCAAGTGTCCTTGGGGTATGGTAGAGAGTCCTTTGGGTATATGCCCAGGGTCTTGAGGTGGAACAATTCCGAGTTTTCTGAGAAACAGCCATACTGATTTCCGAAGTGGCTCTACAAGTTTGCACTCCCACCGGCGGTGGAGGAGTGCTCCCCTTGTTCCACATCCGCTCCAGCACCATCTGTCACTTGTGTTTTTGAGCCTAGGCATTCTGACAGACGTAAGATGGAATCCCAGTTCTAGTGTTTCTTTAAGTTGTCTTTAAAATTATTTTTTTCGAGCAGTTTTGAATTTCCTGAGCAGAAACTCCTGTGTTTCACAAAAGCATAATCACAGCTGAAAAGGCTCAGAATTCAGGGGACTTGAAGAAAATAATACTAGACATTTATTATAGCTTATTATATTAACATAATAATATATGTTCTTTTTGACTGAAATTTGAGTCTTCTACATAAGTAATCAATCTCCACTAAGAATCCATAAACTCTGTTTCAGTCAGTGGTCAGGAATTTGGGATTATTCTTCAATGTCTCAGTTTTCAGTTCTCCTCCAAGTTCATTAAGGCTGTTGTCTTAGTTTCTTTTCCTATGGCCGTGATAAAATACCCTGACAAAAGTCACTTCAGAGGAACAGGGTTTATTCCAGCTCATTGCTCAAGGTTCATAGTAGGAAACTAAAGGACCCCAGGAGCCTGAAGCAAACCGGTCACATCATATCAATGTTCAGAAAGCAGAGAATAAAGAAACACATGCATGCTTACACATTCAATTGTTCTTCTTTGTGTAGTCCCAGATCTCCTGTGCAACTAGTGTTTCTGCCCACAGTCAAGATCTTCCCCCAGCAATTGATATAATCAGCACAGCCCCTATAGCATGCCCTGGAGGCTCAGCTCTCAGGCTCTGCTAGGTTCTGTTTTGTTGATGGCTTTGCAGCTGCTTAGATGAAACCAGGCTCGGTGATGCAGGCCTGGAGCCCCAGCAATTAGGGTGTAGAGGTAGGAGGACGAGGAATTCAAGGTCATCTCCAGGTGCACATCGAGTTTCAGACCAACCTGGGCTGCAAGAAACCTTTTCAACTCACCAGAACGAACAAGCAAAAACACAGCCTATGTGGAACCACTTCCCCACTTCATCTAAGACAGCGACTCTCAACCTCCCTAATGTCGTGACCCTTTAATCATGTGGAGGTGGCCACCAACTGTAAAACACTTTCCATTGCCATTTTATAACTGTAATTTTCCTACTGTTATGAATTGCAATGTAAATATCTGCGTTTTCTAATGGTCTTAGGTAACCTCTGTGAAAGGGTCAAGGGTCATTCAACCCCCACCCCCAAAGGGGTCATGACCCACAGGTTGAAAAGCACTGATCTAAGACCTCACCATCTGCTCCATGGACCATTGTCTATTTCTATATCTAGTCTTTTATTTTAATTTTGTTTTTAAGCAGCATCTCACACTGTAACCTAGACTGGGCTAAAACTGATGATGTAACCAAGCTAAAGTCAAACTCATGACAATCCTCTTGAGTGGTCACCACACCTTGATCTTCTGTTCACTCCTTCTTTCTCTGTATCAACAGGCTCTCAGACTTTAATAGGCCTCTAGACCTTAGCACAACTGACTCCATGATGGAAGTACCACTCAGGTCGTAACACTCAGCATGTAGACAGCACCGCCTGCCAAAGTAAAAACAAAGATCTGATACATTAAAATCCATAGTTCTAGAAAGTCTCAAAATGTACTAGCCTTGCTTTTTGGCTTCTGTAATTCTGCTTCTGGCTAACTGTTCTTGCTAAGCCAGGACATGGTTTTTGTGCTTAAAAGTTCACACTGAGAAAGGCCCAGGGCTACACTGGGATCCTCAATACTCAGTGTAGTCACTGACTGTCTACTAGAGACTTTCTATTGGCTTAAACTTGTGTCCGAGTATACTGTGCCCCGACCTTCTCCCCAGATATCCAAGGACCCCTATTGTTGAATGTTTTATTCTTTTGGCTCTTTAGTCTTTTGACTTCTTTGGGGGTTCACCACCCAGCTCCCAAATAAAATCACACACGGAAGCTTATTCTTAGTTATGAATGCTTGGCCTTAGCTTGACTTGTTTCTTGACAGCTTTTCTTAAATGATCCCATCTATCTTTGGCCTCAAGACTTTTGTCTTTCCCTGTTCCTCTATACCTTTTCTTTCCTGCTTACACCGTGTCTGGCTGTGTAGCTGGGTGACTGGATGGCTGGCCCCTGAAGTCCTCCTCCTTCCTCTCTGATTGCCAAATGTTTTTCTTCTTATTTATCATCTCTGTCTGCCAGCCCCGCCTATTCCTCTCTCCTGCTTCACTTTTGGCTATTCAGTTCTATATTAGACCGTCAGGTGTTTTAGACAGGCACAGTAACACAGCTTCACAGAGTTAAACAAGTACAACATAAACAAAAGTAACACACTTTAAAATAATATTCTTCAACAGACCTCCTTTAATACTTTATTTTAATATCCACTTAAAATGCCACTGAATCAGATATACCTCCAAAGTCCGGGTTAGAACCAACCCCCCCCCCCACACACACGGCGGGGGCGGGGGGTGGTGGAGGGAGAGAGAATATTAAGTTAAGTTATTTTTCAGACTTAGAGATGACAGGCTCTTGGGCATCTCCCTGCAGAGGGCGGCACTGGAATGATAGTTAAGAACCTAATCCTATGTGCCAAGTGCTTTCCGTCCAAGGTAGACAATTATCCCTTGAGAGATGTCAGCTGAAACTAGGTGGAATTTGTGATCCTGCTTTATTTGGCCTAGCCATATCTGGTGGCAAATCCCCGGACTGACTGGCTGATGTATTTCCAGGCAAATCCCAGCCAGGTAGGCAGCCCCGATGAGTCACCAGCTCACAGGGTTGGGAGCCGAGCTGCACCTTCATTAGCACCAGGCTTTTTGTGGTGGCAGTAGGTGCTGCGGAGAAATCCAGTGACCAAGAACTCATCATAACGGTGGTGTAATTCAGCACTCTCGTGTAACCTCAGAGACCAGGTCACCTGTTCTCAGTGATCCAGTGTGTTACAGACCCATGTCTGTTCGGCCCTTTTCGGTATGCCAGCCATTGACACGACAAACTCAAGGAGAAAGAATCTATTCTTGAGGTGGAAAAGATTGTGGACAATGAGAAGCAGCCACCCTATCTGCTACCCTATTGATGGGTAAAGACATAGCATCCTGAGGCATGAGGAGAGGTGATTGCAGGCAGGGAAGTCAGGTAGCTGGTGGTCCATGAAGTCAAGCTTTGCGAGATGATGCCCCATGGGACCCTGTCAGCATTGGCGCGTGGTATGGAGGCCATTTTGGTTTTCTATCGGCAGAAGGTGTTGCCCATGGGACACTTTTACAAGCTTAAGCAAAGGACAAATGGTTTCAACACTTTGAGAAAGACAGAAATAGCCTCTATGTTCCAGAAGAACACC